AGTGTGGTTCGGCGGAGTAGCTTCTTAGTTGTTCTGCCTTCCCCGTTCCAGAGGCGACTGGTACCTCAGGCATAACACGCTCACATACAAGTCCTAGTGTACGGAGTAGACCGTACATTCTGGACTGGTTCAGGGCATCAGCAGAGGAGAACAGCGTAGAAGCCCAAATGATTACTGGCGATAATTATGGACTACCATATTCCTTGATTCACTGTATCACTCTGATATACGGTAATTCAAATAGATAGCAAAATAGTAATTCCTGCTAAGTAGTCAGGCTTCTATACAGCCAATCTTGCGTGAAGCAGTAAGAGACCGCTGGGCCCTAGTTTGCGATATTGCTGCTGATATGAGCTGTAGTCTAAACTCCTTAAAGGGGGTTATATAGGGGCTTATACAAGGGGAATATTATAGGGGCTATTGAGGGGAATAGTGGGAGTTTAGACTATAGCCCATATGGAGGATGGAAGAGATCTCGCACCAGCTAAGAATGTCCTTCAACCACTGTGGTTCTTAGAAGCTTCTTTATGGAGTGGTGCGAGGTTTCCTGTATGAAAAGGGGCTTGCTGCGGAGAACGTAGAATCTGCAACTTACTAAGGCAATCTGCCCACCAGCCAACCCCCTATAGTCCCCCTTAAGTAGATAGAATGTGGCTTTGGATATGTCATAATAAGATCCCTATATACGCCATATTCTATCTACTTAAGGGGGACTATAACCCTAAACCCTAAATAGGACTTTCCATTTTCTTTTCCATTATCCAGATAAAACCCCTACAACCCCAGTCTACTTAGGGGGGACTATAAACCCTAAACCCTAAGCCCCAACCTCAAAACCTACATCTGCCTGCATGTTTAATCTTCCACACGCAAGGACATTGAAAAGGTGCCCCCCCCGCCCCGAAGCATGCGGACCCACACACGTAATAAAAGCACCCCTGAATTATGAACTCACCACATTCCCCAAAAGCCCCAAAGCTCTTCACCCTAGTGCTCCAGCTACCTAAACAACGGGTTCTAGGTTCTATGTACCCTATAGTTACATAGCCCAGTAACCTACTCTTTAGGTGACTGGGAGCCCTAGGTCAGCTTAAGCTCTAAACTCTGCACCCAAAACCCTAAAGCCGTTGCCATCCTAAGCCTTTACCCCTTGCAGCTTCTACCCAGGTACTCTGGGCACATGAAGCCCTGAATCTTAAGGAACTTAGAGTAAGTTACCATAATATGGGCTATATAGGGTTTAGGGTTACCATGATATGGGCATAGAGTAGGTTATAGGGTTGCCATTCATACGGGTATGTAGTAAATAATGGGAGGTTTCCTCACTATAGAAACTTAGTGTAAACTCCTTTAAGCCTTGACTTTCACAGCAACCCAGAAATCCCCCTATGTCAAGGACAGTTCCAGGTGGGTAGTTACCCTTATAAGAGGCCTATATAATACTCATATAGACCCATTACTCTTATACGAGCCTTATATGAACCTTGTATGGGGGTACCCACCTAGTAACTACCCACCTGAAACTGTCCCTGACTATGGCAGACCATCTGCGAATTCTCGCACGACATACAAGACCTGCAGCCTCGGCTTGGGACCCAGGGTTTAGGGTTTGGGGTTTGGGGTTTAGGGTTTAGGGTTCGGGGATTAGGGTTTAGGGTTTGGAGATTAGGGATGAGAGCTTAGGGATTGGGATTGAGGGTTTAGAGGTTATAGGATTTAGGGGTTAGGGTCTAGACTTTAATTGGGTTTGAGGGCTTATAGGGTTTAGGGATTACGGTGTACGGATTAGGGCTTAGGGTTTAGGGATTAGGGTTTAAGGATTAGGGCTTAAAGCAGGGATTAGGGTTAAGGGATCAGGAGTGAGGGTTTAGAGTTTAAGGTTACTAGGCATCCGGTAGAATTAATGGAGAACCAAATGGAAAATGGAGACGACGACTTCTAGGGTCCTTATTACACTTCTTTATGGTTGAATCGTATAGCGAGCAGACACCTTGTATACGGATAAGGGTATATATTAGGAGGACCCCCTTTCTGTAATAGTGGTATAATAGGAATACAAGAGGACCCTAATATAATCCTTATTGTCCATAACAGTCACTATTACAGGGTGGGGGGTCCTCCTAGGGTATATAAGGGTCTTGACTTGGAGATGACGAGCGTGATGAGGGTCCAGGGATGTTTAGGATTGAAAACTTCAGCCTCTAGGGATTACGAAAATCCTAAAACCCGCCAACTTATTCAACGAGCGTGGCAAGACCTCCACCTGTGTCCCAACCGATTAATTGTTATTACTATTCTTATCATTATGCTGATTACTACTACCGTTCGCATTCCTTATTATTATTCCTTTGATTAGTTCCCTAGAGATTGTCCATCCAACCTCAATGCTGTACTCGTCGGCTGGTCGTTGATTTCAAAACGAAGGGCTGGAGTGGTTGACATCAAGACAACGTGGAGATGGGATCTTGATCCAGTCCCAAGCAGCACCCGTTAAGGAACTTGATTTAAGTTACCACGGTGGGTATATAGGGTAGATGATTATTCAGGTTTCCCCAATATAGTAACTTAAATTAAATTCCTGAACAAAAACCAGTAGTCCTTTGTCTCGTTCCAACTGCAAGGCCACTTCACAAGAAGCGCGCGGAGCAATGCCTGCTGGCTGCAAAGTGCTTGTATGTTGAGTCTTGAAGTGTGTATTTGGGCATAGGTTTGTGTCAAACTTTAGGGTCCATATGAGCCATAGTCTCAAGTCCCTGAAGGTGGTTATATAAGGGATTCTATAGGGGACTACTCTTGAGGTTATTAAGGGGGATGCTGGCAGTTAGACTATGGCCCATATGGGTTAGCGCAAGCCCGCAACCAACGGCTGGGAGACCACCGCCTCACCACCAGAGTAGTCGGGTCTGTGTTTTAGGGCTTCAGGAAGTTTAGCCATGTTAGAATGATAGGGTTTAGGGCTTAGGGCCCCTATAAAGGAGAATCAAATGGAAAATGAAATAACAACTCGGGAAGTTTACAGATTTAAAGAATTTGAGTTTGAGTTACCATATTGGGGAAGCCCTATTATATATGTAATTTTCATAGTTACTATATTGGGCAAACCTTCTTATTCATCATATATATACACCCAATATTGTAATTGAATTTTCAGGAGCAGACTGGACTAAGTCTGTTTCTGCCGCCTCGCCTGCTACTTTGGCCTGGCGCACAAAATGCAGATGGTGTGCCATGGGTCAATCCATCACTACAGTTAGATGTGGTTGGATCTTCGCCTCGACAAATAGAAGGGGAGTAGAGAACGTAGCTAAGGCTCCTTTGAAGTCTGCGTAGCCCACGGTCATCCTCCGCCTGCTCATGTAGTCTTTCATTGGGTAGACCCACCGTAACGCCTATTGCTTCCAGCGCGGACTGCAAGGCCACTACTTCCAGAAAGGCCAGTGCCGCTGGCCTAGGAGCTCTTATTGGGGGATTTGGGTGAGGGGTTGTGTTGCAGGGCTTGAGTTAAGGCTGTAAATTCAGCAGGCATGCAGGCTTGACGAAAGAGGTTGGTCCTGATGGGCGTTCCAGCGCACAAACTGGAATCAGTTGAATTTGTAGCAGCGGTGCTTATATTGCTTTCGCTCAATCAACCTGATGTCTGGAAATGGGTATGGAGGATGTAAGCGGTGAGGGTGATGCCTTGGCGAGGATGGCAAACACAGGTTTCATTTTTCTTCTCATATTGGCAAATGAAGCTATATAACCCTTGTATAATCCCTATAATCCTCATAATTTTCAGCTTCTTTTCCATTATCCCAATATTACCCTCATTTACTATGATATACTAAATAAGCAGCACCATTCATGACGACCACAAGTTACAATCCTTACGTCCTTATGCTCAGCCTCGCATGTGCTCTCACAACAGAAGCCGTTTTGTTCTACTAGAAAAGGTTCACTAAGTAGTAGTAGTAGTAGTAGTAGTAGTAAGGGTAATGCAATTCCCCACCCCAACCCTCAAACCCTGGAAATAGTAACAATGCGGAGCCGGCCTTAGGCTTTACTGTTATAGGGGTAATATAGAGGTAATATTAGGGTTTAGGGTTTAATGGAAAAGAAAATGGAAACTATAGGGGTTATATAGGGGTTACAAATAGCTTCATCTCTCGATCTTTGATGTGTTGAAACTTAATCAGAGTTGCATAGCTACGATTTTTCGTCATCTCCTAAGAAGTAAGGGGCGAAGTTGGGGCGTGGGCTTGGTCCCAACTCGTTCTCACTGTCCCACCTGCGCATTAAGCCCTATCAAACCGTAAACCCTTAACCCTAAACCTGCGCCCTAAGCCCTGGAAGCCCTAAACCATTAAGGCACACGCGGAACTGCGTGTCCGTTCGCGCACGGGCCGGAAGAGTTGGCCGAAATCACTCGCATTGTAGCGAGCTTAGGGAGGGTCAGAGAGCAAATCAGCAGAGTGGTGTAGGGTTTAGGGTTCAGGGTGAGGAATAATGACCAAGGGTAACACGACTTATTAACAATCATCATAATTAGTTACTTATAGTCATAACTCCGAGCAACGACTATGATGGAGTTCTGTCCTCATGTGGAATGATTTTGTGGTACTTAGAATGGTTTCATGACCATTCTCCCACTTCCCTGCAAGCATAACTTGGGACAACTGATTACGCTTTCCTGCTCGGAGGCTCTGGGAAATTCATTGTGGGCGGGTCTTTAAGTAGCACCACTAGTAGAACAACTATAGCAACTATAGCTGAAATCACGGCACTTGTAACCCAACCTATAGCTATCCACCTCCGAGTATAACTGCCGCCCTTGCTTGAGTAAATTTTGCTCTGTATATCAAGGAAATGTAACACTCAAAATGCCGTAACGCCCTCTAAGGTTTCTGAAACCAGTGGAGTGGATGAATTTTTCGCGCACCTCTTCTAAGCATCTCGCAAATGTCAACCCTTTTGAAACACGCGACCCCATACAATCCTATCTGATATCACCTTTTGCTGCCATGTGGGCCATTGCGCCGCTGAAGCCTCGGACCGAGAATCCGGGCATGATGAAGATGATGGTTGTGCTGCTGCTGCTACTGGTGGTGGTGGTGGTGGTGGTGGTGGTGGCGGCGGCGGCGGCGGCGGTGGTGGTGGTGGGGTGGGATGATGATGATGATGATGATGATGAACCCTATCCATTCCTAGAAGCTAACCGAGAGATTCAAGACTTCAGGTTAGCGACCTGAAGACGGAGAAGCGCTTCATACGGCGCTGAGGCCGCGGTTGAGCTTCAAGCTAACCCAGGGAGCCCAGTACCCCTGGATTCATCCGAGACCCTAAGCCCCTAAACCCTAAACCCCTAACGAAACCTCTGAGCTCATAAATCCCTAAACCCCTGAGCCCCTAAAATCTGAAGCAAACCCGCTAGACTTCAAGACGCATTGTAGCCAAGCCTAGAGCGAGCGACAGCATCACAGGCAGAGCCCATGTGAGCCGTAGTTTCAATCCTCAAAGAGGGTTTTATACGGGATTATCTATATACATATACATATATAATATATGTATATATGGGGTTTAGGGTTTGGGGTTTAGGGCCCGAACTCCTTAAAGGGCTGTATATGGGGTTACTAAGGGGGATACGCGGAGTTTAGACAATGGCTCATTTGTTAGCAAGAAGATCACAAGAATTCCTGGTTCAGGGTCTAGGGTTGTTATAACTTCTACTATCCATTGTGGTAATTGTAACTGTGAGGGGGATTACTCAAACTAGAATTCAAGAAGTGCGTAGCCCTTTCCAACAGGGTTTTCCGTAACCAGTTGCTCGCTTAGACAAGTCTGAGGCTTAGATTGGAATCCTTGAGTCTAAAGCTCAAGCTTAAAGTTTGAGACTTTAAATCCTAAATGAAAGTGTGTTTGTCTACTCCGGATCTGAGGCTAGCAGGGCTTAAGTTGTAGGAAGACTCAATTTAGGGTTTGATGGTTTGGGGGTGGCTGCTCTTGGGACCAGATAACAGAGCTGATTGAGAGACCTGATTCGCTGTTAAAGTTCATGAGAAAGTAAAGTAAAGGCTCAAACATTGCTTCCTGAGCTAACCCGTTCTGGAGCTTTATGCAAAGCGAACCAGAACAGTGGCAGTTTTGGAGTCCTATAGTAAACAACTAAATTACTTTTACGGTTAGGGTTTAGGGGTTACTCCCACTCCTAGTCTTAATCTTCCTCTTCCCCCTGCCTCTCAACTTTACTCTTACAACAACTCTAAACCCTAAACCCTAAACCCCTCCTGAAGCTTTTGTCGCGGCCTAATTACGCAGCTGCTCCTGGGGTGAGTCGGCTAGTGACTGACTTAATGTGCGAATTAGTCTCACTATTCTGGGTTGCTGTTAAGGAACTTAAATTAAGTTACTTTCTTGGGGAAATCCTATTATTTACTATATATACCCAGTATGGTTACTTATTTCAAGTTCCTTAGCAGCAACCCAGTATTTCATATTCAGCAGATTTGCTTGTGCTCACTGATTGGTTGGGTGTGGGGGGTGCCCTTACTAATCAAGAGCTAGGATGAAGTCATATTTCTTACATCATGGGAAGAGATTGAGCCTGAGTGCTCCGGGTCTCAGCAAAGCCCACAGGTTCAGACGAGTCTTTAACTCTATACGCTAAACCCTAATCCCCTAACCCTTACTCTTAACTTATGCTCTCTCTCCAAGCTTGATTCGCAGACGCCTTTTTTGCTCTCACCGTATCCAGCCTTTGAGAAAACCCTCATCTCGCCATGGAGGAGGCAGCCAGGAGCGACCGTCTCCAAATAAGGTGTAGACAGTAGGAGGACCCCCAACCCTGTAATTAATGGTGGCTCTAAGGGATAATAAGGACCATATTAGGGTCCTATTATACTCCTACTATACCGCTATCCCATGTCGGGTCCTCCTAATGTAGATATAACGGCATAGAGGGATATAAGGGACATACAGGGGATATGCAGAGCATGCGGGGGTGTATGGTCTCAAAATGCGGAGTGATTAAGGTTTAGGGTGCAGGATTTAGGTGTTCAGGGCTTTAGGTTTTGTATGGGTGGTGGGGGGGGGGGGTGGGGGCGGCTAGGGTACATGGGGGTGTACAGGGACATAGTAAGGAAGGGGATAAGGGGAAAAGTGGAGAATCGAATGGACAAGAAATGGGCCATGAGATGGTCATGGGGTTATGTAGCGGTTGTTAGGGATTTTTAATTCAAAAGCCTGAATAGTTAGTAACTTGCCCTCGGATAACCCTTGCATAATTGTTGAAAAATACCCGGCAGCCCTGTTGTAATTATTTGGGTGCCCGAGTTTGAATCCAAAATGCGGATCTTTGGAGATGTTGCCTTCCAGACGTCCCTAGTAGTATCCCATACTTCGAGGAACCTGTCACCTTTCTCTGACCTTAAACCCACATATCGCTGTCACCCTTTATTAACGGTACCTAAAGCTCGCCCTACATGCACCCATAAACCCGTAAAAGGGACCGTAAAGAGTACCCCTTTAGACGGACCTAAGGGTACCCCCCTTCTCGGGCATCCCATTCTGACCACTAAGACCCTCCACCCTAAACCCTAAACCTTAACCCTGCTCCCCAAACCCTAAACCTCGAATCCCAAACCCTAAACCCCGAACCCCAAACCATAAACCCTAAACCCCAAACCCTAAACCTGAACCCCAAACCCCAAACCCAAACCTTCCAGGAGAGCTCGCTTGGCCGGTCAGACCTTGGCAGGCTCCAGCGAAGCTGGAGGAGGATTAAGTATCTATATAAAGCTAAAATGGGGATAATATAGGGAATCTATAGGGTTATATTGGTGATATTGGGGTAATATTGGGGTATCTATCTATCTATACAGGGTTTAGGTTTTAGTCCTTGGGGGCTACGGCTTTATATGGCCTATATGAGCTGTAGTCTACACTCCTTAAACGTGGGTATATAGGGGATCAGATAGGGCTGATTAAGGGGACTACTAGGAGTCTAGACAATGGCTCACAGTGTGTAAGGGTCTTTGGGTTCAAGAGTGGCGGGTTTAAGGGTTTCAGCGTTTAAGGGTTTAGGGTTGAAGTGTTTAGGGCTTAGGGTTTAGGGCGTACGGGTTCTGGGTTTAATGGTTTAGAGATTATGGGCTTCGGCTTAGGGTATTATTGGACATTCTTGGTTGCTGTTACGGAATTCAGTTCCTCACCCAGGTATAGGATATAATTACTGAGATATATAGGTGAAACAGAGAGTCTAGGGTCTAGCGTGATTATGTTGGAGAGTCGAAAAGGAACAGATCATCGGGCACGCCATGGAAACTGGGGGTATGTTTGGGCTTAAGGAACTCAAACCAAGTTACCGTCGTATGAGCCATAGTCTAAACTCCCAGTATCCCCCTCAATAACCCCTTTATTAGTATAATCACCCATATATACCCCCTTGAAGGAGTTTAGATTCTGGCTCACATATAGAAATCCTACACATTAAACCTGGTAACTCTTGGCGCTGGCTTAGTTCAAGCTCCTTAAAAGCAAGCTGGTTTATGTAGGGGGTTCTCAGAATAGGGATGCCCTGAGGGACCCTACGGATAGATAGGGTATAGGGTTTTAGGGTAAAGGGTTATGGCGGCCGTCTTCAAAAGGGGATTCTATCGGATAAATTTCAAGAACTTGCAGGTAGTGATTAGGGTTCAGGGCGTAGGACTTGCGGATCAGGTTGTGATTTTTGGAGTACCTCTCCAATGTCTGCATGGAAGTTTGGAAATCTTCTTGACTCTGGCGACATTTCTGACATGAAATCTCATGCCCAAGAAGATGATGAGGCAGTAAGGTTTAGGCTTTAGGGTTTAGGTTTAGGGCTTAGGGTTTAGGTTTAGGGCAGAGAGCGCCAGAATATTTTCATCCAATGAAAAAATCACGTGATGTTCTTTCTACCTTCTGCGAATCATCTCGCGTCCTCTGCATCCTAAATCAAAAGCCCAAGCCCCCTGGTTGAACTCTAAGCCTCCAGCCAATTAGCTCATGCTTACGTTTTTAGAGCCCTGTTGCGCATGTGAGAGCCCACAATCACTGCTTTTGCCCCGGGATTAAACAAAAACCGCCGGACGCCCGAATAGCGATAAGAGCTTATATGTACGAATACATGTCATGCTTAATGATAGGGAGCGGGAGATCTGTAAAAACCCAGGTTCGATGTCATTGTTCAATCCATTCGTCATTGGGGAGTTGAAAAGCTAGCTCAATCCCCAAACAAACATGAGTAGTCTAAACTCCAAGTACACATAACCCTCCCTTAAGGAGCTTAGACTCTAGCTCACATGAGCTATAGTCAAAACTCCTGAAAGGGGGCTTATAAAGGGGATCATGAGTGGAGTATTAAAGGGGGTACTAAGGGGGATACTAGGAGTTTAGATCATGGCACACATGGATCCCCGAGACAGCCCTGCTAAGCCTATTTTGCTTGGAAACACAGGCCGTCTGGCATTCCCTGTTTTAGGGCGATGGTGTAAACCGGAAATGATATGAATCCTCATATGTCCCCCATATACCCCTCATATATCCCGATACGCCCCCGAATATCCCTAAACCCTTAACCTGCAAGTACGCACCTTAAAAGGGGACCAGCTCAGGAAGCCTTGCGGAACAAGGCCTTGGAAGCCTTCAAGAAGCACCTGACTGGTGCTAAAGGGGGAGTGGCCATTGTAGGTTTGCAGACTTAGGGTTAAGGATGAGCACAGGGAGTCTAGCGACCATTGCGGAGGTTTTGTGTAGTAATTTTCATAGGGGTCCATTTCGTGTAGTAGTTATCATAGGGACCCTAAACCCTTATCATAGGCAGGCATCCATGCCCTGTACAGTTTCAGTAAGGCACTTGGTGGAGAAGCGGACGCAGATCGAGGAGGCTAACGCTCAGGACATTGCGGATGCTGATGTTGCGGTCACTGGGATGCACCAAACCCTCAACCCTAAACCCTTCCAGGGCCTCTTCCGGGCAGGGGGAGAGGAGGGGGAAGCATGTAATGGGCCTACGAGGGTAATTGAAGGCTTTTCTGAATGGGGGTGGACACATATGCTGGGTAGGGTTTAGGGTTTAGGGTGCGTTGATTCCCCCCCGTAACTATGCAGGACAATGTTTGTGTTTTTCTGAAGATTGGAAATCCTCCTCTGACCCATGCATAGCAATAGAATTCATCTGGCAGTTTCTCAAATGTGGGGGGCTTCAATATAGACTCCCAAGTACTATGCTATTTAAAATTTGGGGCCA